GACAGTTTTGTGCGGGAGTGCTTTTATATGGGTTTACATCCCTCTATTCGTGCAGAAGTGAAGGCATGCCGATATTACGCATTGAATCAGTTAATTGACGAAGCCGCGGACGCGTATAAAATTCTAGAAAGAGACCGTGAACGATATGCGAAACCGCCGACGGCGCAAAGACGCGTGCATTTTGAACAAAGTGAAACTGTGACGCGTGAACCTCGTAGTTTTTCCCCTGGTCGAGCAATGTCCTGGAGGAGTCCTGCCCAGGAACCGACACGAAACCCATCACCAGGAAGTCAGCCGTCATCACGAGAACCGTCGCCTGGAAGATATAATCAACCTGGACCATCCCAGAGACAACCGAATTTCCAGAGAGACGCACACCCACACAGAATCCCTAAATTCTGTAATTACTGCAAGACGCCGGGCCATGACATACATGAATGCAGAAGGCGAGAATATAACAACCGGCAAGCGGGAAACGCCGCGCCCCTCCTGTCAACGATGGACCAACGGCGGGAGGCGGCCAGAAGAGATTAGGTCCACAAGAAAATTCCGTAAGAATTGCACAGGTCTACGTGAATCCAGGACCACTAGTTCCACTCGTTTCTACAGACTCACCTAAATTAATCCGCGCTACTCAATTCATGATCGACACGGGTGCGGAAATAAATTTGATAAGAATCGCAGTGTTAAAATCCGGTACGCAAATAGACATCTCAGAATCTGTGCAAGTGCGCGGAGTGGCAGCCGGAATTCTGCAAACGTTGGGAACAGTGACTTTAAAAATTTTCGGACTTGATATAAAATTTTCTGTTGTCCCAACACACGTCGACATGCCCGCAGATGGTATTCTCGGGACAGATTTCTGTTTTAGAGGTGTTAGAATCTCCTATACCGATCGCGCCATCTTCTTAGGAGAGCAACGAATCCCCTTCTACAACTTTCTTAGGAGAGCAACGAATCCCCTTCTATAACGCAGAAAGGTTCGGCCCAGTCGAGGAAAAAATGGAGGAACCTGCCACGCCCCCAGCCGCAGCCAGCCAACCAGAGCCCGCGGCGAGTCAACCAGCAGCGGATGGACGTCCCAAAATGGAGTACGAGCCGGAGGTCGGCGATGCCATCGCCATGTTCAGGAACTTCGACCTATACACGAACGTCCACGCTCGGAACCAGCCAGCCCCCAAACCGCAGCAGGACAACCCCGAGTCGAATCCAGGAACGAGTACGAACGAGCGGAAAGCCCATGAACCAGCTAAGTTCGTCTCCACCATTTTTAAACCCCCAGTCCCCGAACGACCCAACGACGAATCCAGCGACGAAGGAAAGGAGAATTGCCCAACAGCCATCCTGATCAACCTGGAAGAAGAAGATAGCCCGCCATCAACCCTTAGCCCACCCCCAGCCCCATTAGTGCAAAATTCGAACAACGAATTCTACGAACTTTTAAAAGACATCTCGTTTTCAAGCCCTGAAGGTTCTTTCCCCGTGACCCCAGCGGAATCATTCGCTGAAGAAGTATCTAGGTTAAGTAATATTGAAATAAGTGAAGTAGAGACAGAAAATGATAACATTTATACCTCTGACAGTATTAGCGAATTTAACGAGTTTAATGAAAATATAGCGCCGGTAAATTTAGAAGATATTTTAAGTTATACAGATTCAGACGAAAGTGACGAACCTAACGGAAATATAGTCTTAAATTTAGAAGATAGATTAGGATATTCAGATTCAGACGAGGAAGAAGACGTTTATTATGTATTTAATAGGTCAAATAGCGTAAACTCTAGTTATTATAGTAGCGACGATGATTTAATTTATAGCGAGGATGAATTTTTACTCGGGGAACCGCCCGACCCTTTGTCTCCGTCCATTCCGTTAAATTCATATTATCATGTAAAGGAGCATCCTCCTGAGTATTAAAAATTCAAATTCTGAT